CAAATCCTCTTAATGTATAATGATTGTTATACTGAGTATGAAGTGTCCCATAGCTTTTTTGTTCTTGATTATGGTCCGTAAATGAGGCAATAGCATTAACTATTGCTTCTTTACATGTTAGATCATTCTTTGGGATGTTATAGGGCTGGTTTTCTTGGTGCTTTCACATCTAGCCCTATGACTGTACAGTACTCATTAAATGGCAATCATTGCTTTCATATAGCTAGATTTGTATTCATCTCCAAAGCAACTTAACTAGAATGTATAGCATCTCCTGGCCTTTATACCTTTAAGACTTGTTGATGCAGCAAAGGTCTCGACTTGATCTTTCCAATTTGCGTCATAACTGTCGAGATGTTTATTCTCTTGAGGTTTTAAGATTCTATGATCTTCAGTCTACAGAGACTATCAATAACAATTACATGCCTATCGAGACCAGTTATTGGAGAAGAGTGTTTACGTAATACACGTAACGGAATAATAACATTTGAGATGACTCTGACAGGCGTTCTACTGACTTGCTACTCATCCATGTTCTGTCATATCGTAAAGATGACATTTGGCCTTTGTATAAAAAACCTCCTACCTCGTACCCACCTACCCACGTATGTACGTATTTTTTAATGTTCCTTTTTCAGGCTTTAGAGTCGATTTAATGGTTTAAAACCTTATCTGATGATTCTATTTTCGAACTATGCATGAAGGTCCATTCAAAGTCGCCTATTGAACCATGAAAAGTCATATTAAGAGTGAAGATTGAAAGTTGCATACGAATGATTTTCAGCTCATCTTTATTACGAAATACCAGAAGTGAATTTTCGAGTCGAGGAAATTGTGATTATGTTCTTTTTTTGAAGCGGGGAATTAAAAAAATTACTAATGGAAATCATTGTAAGCATAAGAAGATCATCTAGAAGCAATTCTGAATAATTGGAATATTCACACACGGATGTCAAAAAACACATTTCCGGTTTGGGCAGTCTTGCTCTTGCGTAGGATTTGATCCAAAGGGGGAATTACCCCAGAGTTCAAAGATAACCACGTTTATAATATAAATCTGATTTTTTTTCAGATCCATGAGTCGGTTCTCTATTAGATCCTATTAGGAGTGGCTTAAAGAGAGACATGGGGTATAAATAGGAGGCAGATTTATAAAACTGCCAAAATAACTGGATTTTGATATTTCCACAAAGCTGGTTAATTTTCCCAAATTTCATATTGATTGAGAAAATGTATTGCTTAAGATTTTGTTATGTGTATCTTTCAATGTTTTGATGTTCATATTTTGTAGTTAGATTTTTACTGCATCATTTGGTTGAGTTGTGATTAGACATTTAAAAACAGATTTTTCAAATTTAAAAGTCTTCAAGGTTAGCCAATCAAAATCAAGTATTAAGCAATGCTGTTAATTAAACTTACTTATCCTGATAATCCGCATAATCAATATTTTTGACATCCCGTCATACCTTTGATAGCCCTATATACTTTATACAAACAATTGCAATGCCTTGTGTTGGGCGGAGACGATCCCTCTGAATAAAATCATCGTCCCAGATGCTGTAATTAAACCAATATGAACACAGAATTCCATTTAGTAAATCATCAGCAAATTAGAAAAAAGAATCATCAAAGGTTTAGCGCAGATTGCCCCTATTCTGCAATTCTGGCATTATTTCATGACTAAATAAAGGCACACGGGTGACTCAATGCATCTATGATTTAGCAAAAACTGAGGTTGAATAATGTTTAAAAAAATTAAAAATTTAACCCTTCAAAGACTAGGTCATGACCAACATACAGGGGTACGTGGGTACGAGGTAGGAGGTTTTTTATACAAAGCCTGACATTTGCACATTTTGACTTTCTGATTTATATGCTGTCAGTGGCATTCACTCCTTAAATTTTCCTATGGCATTCACTACTTATATTTTCGAAATTACCTCACATATTTCTTCCAATAAAATATACTCAAAGTGTCAAAAGTTGGGATAGATATTTGAGTGGGTTGTAACTGACTGTCTATGATGATGTCTTATTTGATTGGTTTAAAGTACAATGTAGTTTTCTTTTTTTGGCAAGAGTTAGAGCACATAATTTCTTTGGGAGTAATGTTCATTGAGGTTTGAAAATGATAATACTTACATGCTCCCTGTGGTGCTATTTAACTATTATGTTCCATCTGGGATTTTATATCATACACTACATTAAGAATGATATTGAAGTATTACATAACACATATAATTAGCAAATTAGTAAAAAAAAAAAGCAAACTCTAAGCGTAAACCTAGCTTAAATCATAAGAAAATAGACCCTATATTATCCCAAAACTATGATCTAACATTAAAAGAAATAATGTCTAACACCCCCTCCCCCCACCAGTCAAGAGTCAATATAATATTATAAAATAGAAGTGAATTTATTTTTTTATTGTTGTAAAAAATCCTGGTTGTAAGCATATGCCTTTCTGGATTGAATTTGACTGAAACAGCTTGCTTTATTATGTCTTTCTGAATCCTACATGGCTTAAAGATCATGGTTTTGAATATGAATGCTGCATTAAAAACTATTTTCAGGAAATGTCTTCATTTCACCCTTTCATTTTCTATTCGATTCATTATACTTTGTACAAAGTATTTGTTATGTTCTTTCTTAAAGTTTGTTTATCAGTTGCTCATATATGCATCTCTTTAAAAAAAATTATTTGTATATTTTTTTCTTTAAATCGAAAATTTCTCCAAACATTAGCTAATCTGAATCATTATAAAAGAAAGTCTTATTGGGTTAAGTCATTTTCAATTATCATTTATGATTACCTTTTCAAATACTTTTAAAATAGGAATTCTCCTCCCATTACAGTTGTAACATTTATAATCGCACATTAACATCAAAGCTTTATTTGTTTTCATTTTGTTTTGTTTACACAGTCAATCAAAGTATATGCCAGAGGTAAAGTATATAGTCCAGGTAAAGTTGGAGAAAATGAGACCTTTGGAATCAAGAAAATAAACTGATACATAAAACATCTTAAATGCTTTTTATTTTTTATGTCACATGCCTTTTTTCAAAAAATATGTCTATTCCAGGGGAATTCAGTTAAATTTATGGGAGTGATATTTCCAAATATAAATCAATACCCATTATATATACAAGACAAAACTGAAGTAATTTGCAGACAGAATTACATTGTTAAAATTGTCTAAATGAAATATGTCATTATATATTACCATTTATAAAGTATATTAGAAAAATAAATCATTGGTATATTGGTTCTATCCTGCACAATGACAAGCTCTTCCATACACTGAAGCAAGTGAACTAAATCAGGTAAAAATAGAATGTCAGTAGGTTAATGAAGAGACTGAAATGGTAAACTTATGTTGAGAAACTACATACGGCTCATGATATCCAGTGAACTGTTTTATATACTTTGGAAAAAACATATAAAATCTCAGTCATACATGCAGTGTGTATTTTGCTTATACGATTACGTGAAATTATTTGAATTAGAATGATTTGAACAATTTATTGTTAAAAATATCGTAATAACCTAACATTGGTGGTCAATTGATATTATGAAGAATCGTGTATATCAAGTACAAATTCTTTTGAATGTAATCACCTAATTGAAATACTTTTTACCAATCCCAGTGACATTTAATTTAAACATACCTTTAGTGCAATACTAGGAAGCTACTAGTAAGGTAAATAGGCAATTTACGCATACTTGCATAGTTTGCTGTTGCACTAAACGGTTTTTTACCTAAGTTACAATGTTTGCCATACATAATTACCTATAAATGGCCAAAGATAGGTAAATCAAAAACATATGTTTCTATCCAACACTTATGTCATTATAGATTAAATATCATATATGAAACTTTATAATGTTGACAACAACCATTTCTCATTCAATCTTTACAGAAATTAAGTTTTACGCTTATCTTAAACTCCCTAATGATACAATATATTAAAAATAAATATTTAAGTTGTAATTATGGTAATTCTTTTGTCAGAATTTGTTTTATAGAATGTAATTTAAGGAACACTGTTCCATCATATGCACCATTATCTGAATAGGATGTTTCTTTCATCTTACTGTTCATTTTTGTTTGAGCTAGTTTCAATATTATGCTCAAGATATTGGGCATGGATAATGAAATATTCAGGAAATTTACTCCAGTAATTAAAATGGGCCCCTGGTACCCGTACCATCTCTTACAAATATCAAAAGGGAATATTGAGAAAGCACTTGTATGATACCTACAAGGAAACAGAATCAACTTGTCTTAATTCATATGTATCTGCAGTTTACAAATCACAATACAGTATGTGGCATCTCTATGTAATCAAACTCAGCATTTACATGAAAGGATGTGGCAAAGTATGAAAATATCTCCTAATGGTAATAACCGATGATGACACAATACTCATATTTTGAACTAAAATAGGAAAATCTCTTAACACAAATCATATCTAAAAAACCTGGGTGACAAACTGTCAAACTATATTCAAAAGTACTTGTGGTATGTGTATGGTAATGAGCACTTATAACTGTCACAAACCTCTCTACACCTAATTTACACCCCCTTGTCATATTCCTGAACAAGTCTACAGCACTTGAAAAGGCAAGTAATGATACTATTGCTGTGACATTAAAATCCCATAACACTAAAATAAAGAATCATGCTAAACCACAATAAACTTGCACACCAATAAACATGCAAGAATTATTACTCTATTCATAAACAATAGTCACAATAAATGATGAGTATGAGGCTATTGTCATAAACTTTCAATGTGGCAGCAATAAAATTATAGTTAAAAAAACTACTTGTACACCAGAAACAGCATCTTTCTCAATGGTACCAAGCACTTTTTCGATAAACAAAAATTTTATGACATTTATTAATGCATTTTTTAAATCCTTTTTATTTTGTTTTACGACCAAAAATATGATTTTTAATGCATCTGTGCTTGGTATGCACTATCAGTCTTGCTGACCCACCCTAGGTAGCAAGAGGGACAAAATGGATTGGGTGAATCTCTTATTTCTTTTAGGAGTTTCTCTGGCAAATCATCACCAAGGTATGTATTTTTTGGGTAAAAACTTTCTTAAAACATTTTGTTCCTATGGATTTCATTAATTATAATATTTATTATTATCTACTGGCCACGCCCAGATGAATTTGATTAGTGTTGCTTAGAACAACACTAGTTTAATCAAAATATATGGTACATGAACTGTTTCAAACAGCAGATACTGAGGGAAATTGAACTAAATTGTAAAATGTATAATTTGATGGGTAAGTGATCTTAAAAGGGGCAACAAACACAACAAGTTGCAAGTAACTTTTTTAAAATCTGCATCATCCTATTTTCTAAAACCAGTCCAACAGTTTCAATTTTCTATTTTGATAACGCTTTGATTCTTAATATTCCTTGAAAATAATTATGAAACGTGAACATCCTTTTTGCAATGTAAAAAAATTGATTTGATATCTCGATTATTTTTAAGATAATAAAATGGAGTGCAAGGGGAACATTGACATGCTTAGTGACAAGATTGCTGCCACTGAACTACTTTTAAGTATTATAATGACATCATTTATATACCAAAATGTGCAAATACATACATGTGAAGAACAAGCTCATCACATGTTGTAATGAAATACAAATCAAAACCTGCACACAGACAAATTAATCAGGGAATTAACTAATTACTCATCCTGTTTGACCTGAAACCGTTTGTGTATAACTTAGTTAAGAGGTTTTAATGGGCTTTCAGCTTATGTGCCAAATATCATGATTGATCATTGGGAACACCATTTTTGAATACAGTCATTATCACTCAAACTAATTTATGGCTGCTGTTATTCTGACACATCAATCAAATAACTAATATAATACTATAGATAATAGTGTTCTATCATATCTGTTAGCAGGGCACATGGTTAAATTTTGGGAAAAGTTGACTAACAGATATAACTAAAGGTCAAATGAATACCATTTGGAGAGATAAGATTTGATGATGATACATAACATAAAGGATATGCTATCTAGGAACTGTTGTTGATGGGAGGGGGAGGGTTGAAACACCTGTGGGTTATAACGACTTATTGAAAATGACTTACCTATATTACAAATCCAGTCCCTTTTTAAAAACAGGAATTATAATTTATAGATGCTTATATGTGAAAGAGTTGATTTACACAGTTGCACAAGTATGCAAAACCTCCCATTTAGATGCCACTTTAGATGTCACCATAGGTAGTACTACATCTTACTCTGGATACTGATCCTGCTCATGTTCAAATAAATTTAATTTATGTGTCACTTATAATGTAAATGATAAAATATTTCTCAATTAGATCCTACAAAATATGTTTTAAACTGAACATGAGGTAAAAAGGTACAAATGCATTTATGAAAATAAATGTAAAACTCTGACTTAAATAATGTTGTAGCAGGATATATGTTAAGGAGCTTAGGTTGTTCAAATAAAAATAAATCAAATTCGCTAGAGCACTACTTGACAAATTTTATGTATTTTCTAATAAAATGATTTAGGTTAATGTTGAAAATATGATTGCACCTTGTAAGTAAAATATTCTTTAATACTACATACTTAACACTAAATGCACAATATAGATACTACATCATGATTCAATCTGATAAAGACAAGAGCCAAAAGGACGTTGTCATTACGAAACAATCACCAATTGTCATGATCTTCCATTGAGTGTTCCTCCATCATTTAGAAATAATTATTACTATCCAAAATACCACAATAACAATGAGACATATCAGTTATTAACTGAAGTTAATATAATACTTGCTAAAATAAAATTCTATTGGTAAACACTAACATTATAGGAAACTGATCTTTTCATCATTTTAGAAAGCTCTGGTCTAATTTCTAGATATTTTTATATATGTATATTTGTAACAATATCCTAGACAGCGAACTTGACGTTGAATTTCATAGTTAAATCTACACAAACTCCAAATGTAGTAATGCACAGGTAACATACTAATGCAAAATCAAATTCCTTGTGTTGTACCTTACCATTACTGCGTGTTATACCGTATACTTAATTTGGTACATATCCTGTGATTTTCTATTCCTAGAGCATAATTCATTCATCAGCGCGTAACTTTCTCGAAGAATATGCTATGATAAACCTGATGTTTCACTGCTCCATCATCTTCATAATTATCAAATAAATACTGTTAAACTTAACAAAACTGATTAAACCAGGTTAAAAGTGCAGATCTTAACCATTTTTGAAGTTCATTTTACGCAACAAAAGTGAAGTATTATATCAATGATTCTATCAACTTCAGAACTATTTGTTAGCAAATAGATTTTAGATTTTCTTAATTAATGTTGACACATATATGATATGAAAATTCATTAAAATTCTGCCGAAAACTTGGGAAATAAGGAAAAAATTGTAACTTTTAGGTTCCGACATTTTGTTACCGATACAGATCCGTTACAGTTACTAGTTTGAAGAGTGCAGTACCCATGCAATTGACTGATCAACAAATGATCAGGTGCAATTATGGGCAAATATTCACATGGTCAGCCTGAATTATTTTTAGGTGTAACATGAAGAATTCAATGCCACATAATCTTTGGAAAATATTTAAGCGATATAAATGTAATAATAATAAAAACAGTATGTTCATTTTCTTCATTGAGAAATCAGAGTGGAGCAGCATGCACTATGTCATTTGCTCATTGTCGTGTTAAAGAAGAAATACATTTTCTGAAAATAAACCAATATTTTTGGACCACCCTGTATATCTTGCATATGCCTATAATCTATATGTGTAAGTGGAAGATACTACTTACTGGTAACCATATGATAAAGGGTTTGTTTTGTATAATGGAGCAATGGCAGGTTGGGGATTAGAAAGTAAAATCCCTGATTTTAATATCATACTCATCAATTTAGAGATTTTGTTCATAAAGTAGTCTCAGTTGGATAATGCATTGCCTTAATCATATTTGTACTTTGACAAGACTTAGAATTTATTGGTTTAAATTCAAAGTGTAATATTCAAGGCATTTTATTGATTTAATCAATCATTAACATTTTAGAAATAAATAAATGAAATAATGAAAATGGATAGAGTGACATTATTTTCAGACTATCTATCTTGTAATCCATTTGAACTCAGTATCAATTACACATTAAATTTTGTGCAATTTACATTATGTTTTTACAGCCAATGGACAGGAACCTCAAGACACAACTGCAAGTGTAGGTTCAGATGTTGTCATTAATTGCCGAGATCAAGGATATGTATACATAATATGGCTTGAACTTACAAGTGATCCTGACAACCCAACCACAATATGGCACACGGGTGATGATCCTGATCCAACTGGCAAATACATAGTCGATCAAGGAGCCAATAAATATGATTTGACAATCACAAATGTGCAGTTGTCAGATTCAGGAACGTATGAATGTCGTACACTAATGACTGTGGAAAGTGAGATGGAAGACCACAAGATGGAACTTACTGTAGTAGGTAAGTTTCACAAATGGTTTACAATGTTTTTTTTATCATTTCACACTTTAGGAAAGCCCCAGAAAATAATTTGCAGACATACTCAACCATTTCTGCAAAAATTAAATTGTGAGAAAAATAACACTGTGTGTAATATTGGCTGTAATGTAAACAAAGTTTATAAAGTGTGTGTAATGCCTCATCATTTGTTATGTTTAGAGAATCTTATGAACAAGGGATTTTAAGGAGAAAATTCTTAATTTTTGGTGAATAGAACATTACAATAGAATTGATTGGTAAAACACATTTCCGTGAATGTAAGCACATCATTATGCCAAATGCCAATTCACATTTACTTATAACTTATAGCTATAACTGTAATCAAAAAAGTTTTCACTAATCATTTGAGGAATTGGAATCACATGAATGACAATTCTTTGGAAGAAACCTTGCATTTGCTGTTTTAGACAAAGCCCAATTGACTAGACCACCCATACTTGTGTCAAGATCCTGTAGGAAACTGGACATTCGTTGGATACCTTGGGATGCCAACGTTGACATTGGAGCTGGGACTGTGAAGGAATATGTTGTTTACAAAGATGGAAGGCCCTGGGGCCCAGCAACCACAAATACATATGACTCATTGGAATTTCTACCTTCGAATACTATATCTAATATAAGCATAGTGGTTGTCAGTGAAAATGGCACAATTGGCTTACCATCTCCTGTTGTATCCATGGCTACTCGACCATGTAAGTTTAATATAAGCTTTGCATGCAGAGCGTAATGCAATCAATATAAAGCCCTTGGGAGTTCTGAGTGACAATAAAACCTTCATGAAATCAATTTTGTGATGTTTTACTTAAAGGGACTAGAAGGGACAAAGAATGTTTGAAAAAACTGACACAATTTTTTTTGAATTCATCTTTCCAGATCAGGCACCTTTTTTAAAAAAAAACTGACACAATTTTTTGAATTCATCGTTCCAGATCAGGTACCTTTTTTTAAAGAAAAACTGAGACTTTTTTGAATTCATCAAAAGTTCCAGTTCTTACTTGATTATCCTTTGACTTCACGTTTGGCAAAAATGAGATCATTCCCTTATTTGATTCCAACAATTTATGTGGACATTTTTACATTTTAAATCTTAAGTAACTTCTATATTTGATTAGATCTCACTTTTGTAAGCAAAACTTGAGCATTATTTTTGAAAACATAATTTACACTCTCTAGGCCCCTCTCTAGCTCTTCTAATTCCTTCATTAACTGCTCATTATGTGTATTTGAAGTCAAAACATATATTAATGTATTTATCATTTATGCTATTGTTTCTTGGGGCTTAAAAACTTTCCTTACATGCATCTTCATCAAAGTTTTAGCAACAACAAAGCCTGAAACACCCAATATTACCAAAGGCCTTTTAATCCTCAATTTAGTCTGATACACATCTTCTAGGTCTCCAAAACACAGAAGACGTAGACATGGATGGTGCAGTTGCTACTGATTCAACAACATACTATGAGTTCAGTATTCTTGGACAAAAACTGGAACTGCCTGGATCACTTGCCATAGATTCAGATCTTACAACATGTTCACAGACAAACTTTGAAACAATTCCAACAGTCACTATTGAACTCCAGCATGAGAGAGTTATTCACAGTGTTGAACTTCAAATTGGAGGTGGGCAACCATTGATATGTAGGACAAATAGAGTACAGAAGAAGGTTGTTTAAAAACTTCGCACATACAAAAAGAAAACATAATATACATTAGATGGTGCACCTTTCTTAATTTTACATTTTTTGTTTTAATAAAATTATTCATTGGTAGTTTGATATTTCATAAAACTAAAGTATTTATCTTAAAATCTTGAGATTTATATTATATAGGAGTGAACATCTATGGTGTGGAAGCTGGTGGTTGTTCAGCCGAAACAGCAAGTGATTTCACAAGGAATGATTTCTCATTTAATCAATGTAAAGAGGAATGTGACAACGTTGCTGAATGTAAGGCATTTGTTTATGACCCAATCTCTAAAACTTGTGAGGGAAAGGGATCTGATTGTTCTGGATCAAAGACAAGCTCAAGCACAACACATTTGTATGTATTACATGGTATGTATACATGATGAATGAATTCTATTCACATTTCATGCTTCTACAGTCCATATATTCAGTAATTGAGGTATATGTAAATGGATACATTGAAAATTAATTGCAGAACCAAACAATCCAACCTACCAAATCATGGAAGTCAAAGCAATATCACAGAATGGCATCCACCAGCAATGTGGTCTCCTACAGTTTGAGCCTGACAGCTACCATACAGTGAAATGTAAAGACCCAGTTCTTGCAAAACATATACAAGTGTCTGCAGCCTTCAGGGCATCTGGCCAGCTATTGTCACTTTGTGATGTCCAAGCAAATGGTTAGTAAAGGTCTTCAAATATGCCATTTAAAAGAAATGTCATTTGTAAAGTAATAAGTTTAATATAAATTCTTATCTTACATCATATGATTAAATATTCATATTAAATATGCTATTTCTTAGAATGCAGTGATGGCAAGTTTGGGACAAATTGTGACAATGTTTGCCATTGCTCTGGGAATGCTGTATGCAATAAGTTGTCGGGGGCATGTCCGTTTGGATGTAAAGATGAGTATACTGGAGATTCATGTGGTATTGGTATGTCTGATTCAAAACATTATCTAATTCTTTACTCCTTTATTCATTATTTTAAGAGAGTCATTGTGCTCTGGGATCATGTTGCACTAAAAGGTGAACAAATTTCATTAAAAAATCAAGAAAGACCTGTAGATAGATGATTCCTTGTTATTATGTCTTGTTATCATTGTTGATAGTGTTAATGGTTCAACCTAAATGTATAACCTTCAAACCTTTTTTAGAGAAACCCATACTCAAAAACCCACCATTCTTGCTTGAAAGGGGTTGTGATTACATAAAGGTAGGCTGGAAACATTGGCAAGAAGCAGTTGACAGAGGAGATGGACCTGTATATTCCTACCATATAAGAATTAATAATGACATAACTACAATATCCCCAACAAACAATGACCACTATACACTCTTCTCATTGACAAAGGACACTGTATACTCTATTGCAATTATTCCTGTCCACACAGAAGGCTATCTTGGTACACCATCTCCAGCCCTTGAGGTGAAGACACTACCATGTAAGGAGGATTTCATTATGTGTTTTCATGAATTAAATGGACAGTAGAAAAATCAGGCACACACGTTTATAATGCAAATAACATCATCTAACAATTTTTGGTTCAAATATTCATGATTTGATAGCTTGCCATATGTTGTTTTCAAGCAGAGTTAAGTCTAGTGTATTAGAACTTGAGTATAAACTGGTGTACACTGTCCAGGATTTAGTATATTATTCTGTGTACTTTTTGTTGTTTTAGGTAATGATGATCACCAGAATATTGATCTGTCTAATGTTATGTCTTCTCAGTCAAGTACATATTATGAGTTTGATAATGATGACAACACTGTACAGTATGATGCATCAAGAGCTGTAGACAGTGATGTTGCTACATGTTCACAGACAAATGAAGAAGACAAACCCTCACTGACTATAGAGTTCCCACAAGAAAGAGTAATAACAGGCGTAGAAATACAGGTCACAGGTACCTTTTTACAATTGTTTTTTGTTATGTTTAGATGTAGAGGGATTTTAATTCATAATATCACTAAAATGACATATTATTTGGAATCTAGTATTTCTAGATATTACAGAAACATTGTATTTTACTGAATGTTCGACAAAGACGAAATGGCAAATAGAGCATTTTAAAAGTGACATATCACACTATTGCAAGGTTGTCAATCATATAATAATTTTATCAAAGGCATGCTGTTTCTATACTCAACCTCAAACATATTTTCAGCACTGCCATATCAAGATGTTGGATGCTGGAATGAAGATGTAGATATTAGTGATGGCAGTGTAGTAGAGACACTGGAAAGTTCAGAACCATACTTGTTTGATAACTTCAGAGAAAGGTGAATTGTAATCTACCTTTCCAATAAACCTTTTTAAAGTTAATCCTATTCTGCTTGAACAAAATTGCTATGTTGTACTTCCAAATTAGCAATAGGTTTATCTTCTTTATCTTGCACAGATTGCTACATACAACCAATGACATCATGTCTAGCCAATATACGAACGAATGAAGAGCCCGAATCTTCTCTGATGTTATAATCAAAAGATGGCAAGATTTATTGAAAATCTTTATTTTAAAATCACAATAAACTGCTACAGTAAAAGTATGAAAAATACATAAATATTTTCATTTTAAGGTTGTTTCCTGTTACAAAATGCATGATGGCAGCAAATAAACGGCATTTCAACATGTTTGGTATCCAAGGAGGCGGTTATTGTATGGGTGATGAAGAAGCTGAGTGGAAATACACCAGAAATGGACCAGCAATAAACTGTCCACAAAATGGCAAGGGAGGAACAAAAATGATTCAGTTTTATAGACTTGAAACAGGTAAGCACTGGTATAATGGCTTCTCAATTAGTTATATAATTAACAGTAGTCATAATCATATCCGAGAAAGTAATTTCACTTCGATTTTACGACATAGTGTTGTAAAATTTTACTCAGTTCAGTGCATTATATGTACTTCGGTCTGAGTTGGCATAAGGCAAAATATATATCTTGTTATTAAACATTATATGTGACATTGGTTTTGTTATCTAATAACTTCTTCCTATTTGTATTGCATGCTTATTTTATTCAATAGGTGGTGTCCATAGATACAGTTCAAAGAAAGGCACATGCAACCTGTCCGACCAAAATGACTTTGAAATAGTTAATGCTACATTTAATGAATGTAAAGAAGAATGTGATACAAGTGGATTTTGTGGTGCATTTCTCTACAAACCTAGTACAACTGGTATAAACTGTGTTGGTAAAGCGAGTGATTGCAGTGGTAGCCAGTTAGATTCCCAAGATGAACACTTGTATTATCTCAGAAGTTAGTAAAACAAATATGTATTTTTTATATTCACTTATTAAAATTACATGCTCTTGGTTTCTATGAAACCAATGATACATTAAATGCCTGGCAAAAGCATAATCAAGAATCCCACTTATTCATTATGTTTCTCAGAAAAAATGTGAAGTTAATTCATGTTTTATTTTTCATAAATTATGGACATTCATGTGTTCTTTTTGTTCAATAATATATAAAATATTAAATGCTGTGGAGATTGATATCTGTTTTATTTTTCATAAATTATGGACATTCATGTGTATTTTTTGTTCAATAATATATAAAATATTAAATGATGTGGAGATTGATATCTGTTTTATTTTTCATAAATTATGGACATTCATGTGTATTTTCTTGTTCAATAATATATAAAATATTGAATGAGGTGGAGATGGATATATGTATTATATTTCCTTGTATATATTAAACAATGACCAGAGGCTGAAGGAATACGTCATTTTTGCACATAGATGGAAAACCTCTATTTATTTTTAGTCATATTGTGTGTGATTGACCTATGATAGAATGAGTATCACAGGTAGATAATATACTTTTCTAAAAATAATGTTGTTGCATCATTAGGTCCAGAATATCCAAGATACAAAACTATTGTGGTGAATGCAACATCATCATCAGGGGAAGTCCAACAATGTGGATCAAAACAATTTGAGTCTGGGGATATACATGTCATTGATTGTCCTGAACCAGTACGAGCTAAATCGCTGACATTACATGCGGAACACTTTGCTCAAGAACAGATGTTATCTGTATGTGATATACAAGTATTTGGTGAGTTAAAAAAAGTTAATAACTTTCATTTGGGAGCATGCTGATGTTTCCTAACCATTCCTAAGTACTTCCCTATCAAAAGGCATATACACAGCACACGTGTCTTTTCAGCTGATTTTTGTTCTTTGTTTCCTAAATGTACATTCCCTTACATTTTAGAGTGCAAGGATGGTTTCTATGGTGAAAATTGTGACCAAACATGTGTTTGCTCCAATAATGAGGTTTGTGATAAGAAGACTGGTGAATGTCCAAGTGACTGTAAGGAAGGGGAGTGTGTTTATGAATGTCACTGTTTGGATGGGGCAGCATGTAATACAACATCTGGTGCCTGTCCTGGAGAGTGTGCAAATGACTTCAGTGGCCCAACTTGCCAAATCAGTGAGATATATTTCATTATATTAGTAGATCATAACATGTTTAATATAAAATTATTTTACTAGTATCTTTTAACTTAATAGCCTTGCCCGAGTCTGTCTCTTTTACTTATCTTGATTTCTATTATGACTGCCTTGTACCAATGAGAAAGCCACGTGCTTAACCTACCTAATGTTAGGTTTAGCTCTTTATTATGCACGGTCAAAACAAGTACACTTTTCACAAACAAATCCTCCCGAAAATCTTGCACAATTCATCATGAAAATACAAATATTTTATCAGATAAATACCAATCAGAGTATGGGATGCCGGAGTATCGATCGGATACCAAGAGGTGACAAGATTTCAACAAGAAATGTTGAAAAGATCGCTGAAATTGTCAAACATATTAACTAGATCTAGGCCAAGATTCAGATCAATCAGAATCACTGAATTAGATCAATGACTACATAGACTAGGTCTTCGTGCATTTTCATTGCGAATTCAATTTCAAATCAACATTGAATCACATGATTTAATTTATATTAATGACTGCTTACATTCAAAAGTAAATTTAATTACATAATATATTGTAACTCTGAAGAAATACTCGATCAGATCATTGAATTTCAAGTCGTAGATGGGTAGTTTGCTTATGCGGGTAAGCCTGAAAATGTTTTGATTGGTTAATCAGCCTGAAGTTACAAGTTGTGTCCATGCGGTCTTGCCAATCAATAAGGTTTTGCAATACACCTGACAGCGAAGGAATTATGGAAATCTCAACACCGCTGAATAATTTATCATAATATCAGCGATGATGCATTAGATTGTACAAGGTGGTAATAATTCAAGATCAGGATAAGAAAAAAATTCCAACTTTGGCAAGGCTTTCAACTTTAGTAAGCAATTATTTCAATGTCTCTTGAAAAATCAGGTGAAGCCATCTAATGTTATTTACTTTATGACCCAGAAAAGCCACAATTAACCAGGCCACCCATACTTGTGTCGAGAGCCTGTAATAGGCTGGATATTCGCTGGGAAGAATGGGATGCTAACATTGACATCGGAGATGGTCCAGTTGATAAATATTTCCTCTATAAAGATGGAAATAATTGGGGTCCACCGCTTAAAGATACATTTGCAACAATGAATTATTTAGCTTGGAACTCTACATCAAATATCACAATAGTGCCTATACAAGTAGATGGCACAATTGGTTTGCCCTCACCAGTTGCATTTATGGCAACTCGACCATGTAAGTTTTTTGTGCCTCAGCACGTTTTGAAGTCAGAAACCCTATATCAAACCATGTAAATAATATAAAATCATAAATGTGGTGTGTATGAACCAAAAGTTGGTTATCTATTAATTGATATCAATAATAACATTAAATATTAACTGATGCACTGTGTACTATATAAAGTAAAAATACTTCTAGGTGCACAGAATACGAGAGACGTAGACATGAATGGTGCAGTTGCTACTGATTCAACAAAATACTATGAATTCAGTAGTCTTGGCCTAAAAGTAGAACTACCTGGATCACTTTCGATAGATTCAGATCTTAGAACATGTTCACAGACAAACTTTGAAACAATTCCAACAGTCACCATTGAACTCCAGCATGAGAGGGCCATCCATAGTGTTGAACTTCAAATTGGAGGTGAAGTTCTTTGTTAGACTTAATTTGTGACATCATGATGTTAAATAATTGGTGTTTTTTAATAAGATATGATTTAAATCCATATTTACTCAAATATAGGCCTGTCCTATTTTGAAGTCAATTTCGCAAACCATATATCTATATAATCCTCTTTATCTGCCTACTTTATTGACTCAAATAATGTCTTTCTTCATTTTTAAGGTGTAAATATCTATAGCGCTGAGTCTGGCGGGTGTTCTGCCCAAACTGCAAATGACTTTGCAAGGGATGACTATTCATTTACTGAATGCAAAAATGAATGTGACAGCATTAAAGAATGTAAAGCATTTGTTTATGGGCCTATGGCGAAAACCTGTGAAGGGAAAGGAAATGACTGTTCAGGAGCCAAAACACCTTCCAGCACAACACATTTATACGTGTTACATGGTATGTTACAGTTATTTCTCATTTAATTATCAAATGAACATGAGTGATTATTATGATTACGTTTTGTATTTTTATATTTTTATCCCCTCCCCCATTCATGTACAGCATTATCTAAGATACTGGGCTTAAGGGATTATAAGGTAGTGGTACAATGCACTTATTCCAGAACCAAACAATCCAACCTATCAGATATTGGAAGTCAAAGCAATATCACAGAATGGCATCCACCAGCAATGTGGTCTCCTACAGTTTGAGCCTGACAGCTATCATACAGTAAAATGTAAAGACCCAGTGCTCGCAAAACAGATTCTAGTGTCTGCAGCCTTCAGAGCATCTGGTCAACTGTTGTCCCTTTGTGATGTTCAAGCAAATGGTATAGTATTTAGTGTTTGAATGATAAAAGCATCTTTACTAAAATGGTGACAATAATAAGTCGAGAGAGTTAATTGTCTTTTAATTAACTCTAAATGTCTTTTAATTAACTCAGTATTTAATCAGTACAATGAATGATAAATCCTACTTGGAAAAGGCTAGAGCCAACAAATATAAGTCAAGACGTAATCTGTGTTCCTAAACACAAAAAAATAATTCCAGAAATAATATTTGATAAGTTATTGTTTTTATCTAAGAATTGATTGATGGAAGGTTATGAACAGATTGTAAAAAATGATTGAATAATTTAACAATGCATCATTTTGAAACAGATAATATTCTTCTTATTTAGAATGCATTGATGGAAGGTTTGGAACAGATTGTGATAAAGTCTGTCAGTGTGCAGGGAATGTTGTGTGCCATAAAATATCAGGAGCATGCCCGTTTGGATGTAAAGATGGATATACTGGGGAGTCCTGTCAAATAGGTATCATATGTCAAAAAAAAATCTGAATTAGAATTAATCAATCAGTGAATTAGAATGCTTTTGTGCTGGTATGAATATTAAAAAATATAAGGCTATGAATATAAAGTCTTGTATGATAAATTGTGCTAAAATAATAGCAATCCATGCTTACATCATATTGCCTTCTTTTCAGAAAAACCTGTGTTAAAAAAGCCACCATTCATACTCGAAAGAGGTTGCGATTATATTAAGGTTGGCTGGAACCACTGGCAAGAGTCTGTGGACATAGGGGATGGACCAGTGTATGCTTACCATGTCAAAGTGAATACATTAATAAGGACAAATCAGCCAACACAAAATGACCACTTTACAATAGATGCATTGGAAAAGGACACCACCTATATTGTGAAAATCATTCCAATCCATACACTAGACTATGAGGGCGATGAATCTCCTGAGCTTCAAGTGAAAACATTGCCGTGTAAGTCTCAAAATGTCAAATAAAGCATATTGATGCATGTTTTGTTAAGAGCTTAACCATTTACATACATGCCCTTTAATTTAACATTTTACAGCTTGACCTTTTCAATATATAAATCTGAGAGCATCAGAAATGGTAAAAAGTCAAAATACCTTTTTCAATCCATGGATGGAGTGTGATTTTATATGATTTTCTTTAAGGTAATGATGACCACCAGAATGTTGATCTTTCTAATGTTGTGTCAACTCAGTCAAGTACATATTATGAATTTGACGATGATAACAACAGAGTTCAGTATGATGCATTAAGAGCTGTAGACAGTGATGTTGCCACATGTTCTCAGACAAATGAAGAAGACACACCATTCTTAACCATTGAACTTCCTGAAGAGAGGGTTATTACGGGAGTTGAAGTTCATGTTGCTGGTATGGTTGTATTTTAAAAAAAGCAGAGGTAGTTCACAGGTTGAAGGAAAATGGAATATTTTGTAAGGAAGGGCCATGTTTGAACTGTCTATTGAATTAGTGATGTAAGGGGATTGGATGGTTTTCTCCATTTCATACATTGGATGTGATTGGTGTTAAATCTGTTTCATATACTATTGAGGAAAGTATCTCAAATGATGAAAAGCAGAACATATTGAGAAAATAATGTAATTCTGAAATTGTTGAGCAGGTTGCATCTTGTTATTTTAAAACCACTTATGCAATGTCAAAGTTATTCAATACTTCCGTTAAAGGCTTTGACAACAATGGGTCCATATTTGAAGCCAATTTTGAAAGAATGCCTTATGTATAAATGAAATAAATGAAAAAATACCTATAAACATTTTTCTTTTAAAGTATGCATATTTATGTATGCAATTGGACAAAATGGTGAGAAACCAAAAATAAACCAGTATTCTAATTGTGAATTATAGAGCTGCCCTACCAAGATGTGGGTTGTTGGAAAGAAGATGAAGATATAAGTGATGGTGGTGTAGTCTCATCTTTGGAAAGATCAGAGCTTTACTTGTTTGGTGATTTCAGAGAAAGGTAGGAACTATTTATAAGGGTGCAGATGCACTAAAATATTTATATTATATATATCATATTAATAATTTATGTGACCTATATCAGAGAAAAACAGTAGCTTTAAAACTAAAAGTGAAACCATGCGAATAAATCAATACTATACCAATACTATTTTTTAGGTTTTTCCACCTTACAGAGAATTACATATACAGTGTAATTATATACTTGTTCATTTGATTATATAGTGCCACTGCCAGTGATGACTGCATTGATTTCATTTGAATCATGGAACCACCTTTCTCTTTTCACACGCCCGGTGATCGTGAATATGGGACGGAGGGGGGAGTAGGCAATTTCTGCTAGGAAATTCAACAAATCTGGAAGATTTATTTTTTCAAGAAAAAGTTTACTATTGAATTGCTAAATGGATAGGCGCACGGTATGGTAGAATATGTTAGGTTTTCTGGGATTTTTTCTGAAACGATACGCATCTAAGGTATGAGATCTATTAAAAAAGGCGCAAGGCCATCAACAGGCACAAATCAACGTTTTTGCTATAAATCAAGCAACAATGGACTACACGACCTGTAATAAATACTTGTAAGTGATGTTATCATAACTAAATTAATGTCATTGCTGAATTTATAAAATAAGTTTCCATACGTAAAATAAAAAATAATCGAAAATAATTAAAATGGGACGGAGGGGGGGGAGAAGACGGAGTGGGGGAGTAATAATTCTATAAAGTGAAACAACTTCACACGAATTCTTGTATTTGAAAAATGAACTCATTAACTTAGTAAGAAACTGGATGATATACCCCTGGAGACTGAAAAATGGGGACATTTGGAGTAAAAGGACTTAAAGTCGCGAAACATCTCTAATCATGTCTTATATACATATTGCTCCCACCCTCCGTCCCCTCCCCCCCCCCTCCGTCCCAAATTCATTATTTTCTATTATTTTTTATTTCACATATGGAAACTTATTTTATAAATTCAGCAATGACATTAATTTAGTTATGATAACATCACTTACAAGTATTTAATACAGGTCGTCCAGACCATTGTTGCTTGATTTATAGCAAAAACGTTGATTTGTGCCTGTTGACGTCCTTGCGCCTTTTTTAATAGATCTCATACCTTAGATGCATATCGTTTCAGAAAAAATCCCAGAAAACCTAACATATTCTACCATACCGTGCGCCTATCCATTTAGCAATTCAATAGTAAACTTTTTCTTGAAAAAATAAATCTTCCAGATTTGTTGAATTTCCTAGCAGAAATTGCTTGCTCCCCCCCTCCTTCCCATATTCACGATCACCGGGCGTGTGAAAAGAGAAAGGTGGTTCCATGATTCAAATGAAATCAATGCAGTCATCACTGGCAGTGGCACTATATAATCAAATGAACAAGTATATAATTACACTGTATATGTAATTCTCTGTAAGGTGGAAAAACCTAAAAAATAGTATTGGAAATTTTTCATTTTATTTTAATGCATATTTTGAGCTTTGACTTAGAATGATATTTTAAATGGGCCACAGAAATAGTATTCTGCAAGGTTATACACAGTTACTCTATAAGTATCTTTGTTATTTCAGAGATTTCCCTGTGACAAAATGCATGATGGCAGCTTATAGGAGGCATTTCAACATGTTTGGTATCCAAGGTGATGGTTATTGTATGGGTGATGATCAAGCTGAATGGAAATATACCAGAAATGGTCCTGCGCCTGGCTGTCCAAAGACTGGTAAAGGAGGCACAAAAATGATACAGTTCTACAAAATTGAAACTGGTATGTTAATTAATATAATATGATGAGCGCATAAAATACATTTATAAAAGCAAAATATTTCACCAATGATTATACAAAATGGATTGTACAAAAAATTAAGCTATTAGTAAGTAAATCTATACAATTATGACATTTTTCCAATTAGGTGGTGTTCACAGGTATAGCTCAAAGGAAGGTTCTTGTGACCTAGTCTCAAACAATGATTTCGAATTAGAAAATGCTACATTCAATGAATGTAAAGAAGAGTGTGACACAAATGGATTTTGTGGTGCATTCATATATCAGCCTGGCAAAACAGGTGTAAACTGCATTACCAAAGCAAGTGATTGCAGTAGTAGTCAGGCAGCAGGTCAGAATGAGCATCTATATTACCTAAGAAGTAAGTACAAACGTTGAAATGCATTTGATCAGTGTTAAAAAGAGGTCTTGGTTATGTATTGCATATTATTACATCACTTGTCATCACTAGGTTGACTTGTTTCAAATTGCACTACTATTACTGATTAATAGAATGTAAGTGATGGATAAAATTGTTATTTTCAAAAATGATGTGTATATGTTCAATTTTATCTTACAACTTATCTAATGTTCTTCTGTGATTAAGGTCCAGAATATCCAAGATACAAAACTATCATAGTGAATGCAACATCATCATCAGGGGAAGTACAACAATGTGGATCAAAACAATTTGAGTCTGGAGATATTCATATCATAAATTGCCCTGAACCTGTGAGAGCAAAATCACTGACATTTCATGCAGGACATTTTGCAGAACTACAGATGTTGTCTGTGTGTGACATACAAGTATTTGGTTAGTAAATACATTGTTAAGTTCATATATTGAGCAACAGTATGCATTTTCTCTGAATTGTAATGTTTGTTTTCTTTGGTTTTCTATTCATAATATTGGAGAACTGAATTATATATTTATGTTTTACTCTATGAATTACTTAGTCTTATTCTTAGTCTAAATAATGTAATATATTATTGAATTGATTATTTTGGTATAATGACAGTCTATCAGTGATATGTCTACTTATGGGCATATGTCTGCTTATGAACAATGTACAACAATTCTAAATAAAAAATAGAATAAGAGATATTTAATAATACATTAATAATTAATAACTATTTTCATGAAATGGCTTTGGCTGAAGTTGAGTTTTCCTGTTTCTTATAGAATGTAAAGATGGGTTCTATGGTGAATCATGTGATAGACCCTGTGAATGTGCCAACAGTGACACATGTGATAAACAGACAGGATTATGCCCAAGTGGTCATCAGTGTCACTGCTTGAATGGAGCACAGTGTGACATAACAACAGGAGCCTGTCCTGGAGGAGAATGTGCATATGAGTACACAGGGCCAACTTGCCAAATCAGTAAGAAACCATCCATCATGCAACAACACCTGAAAATTCTGATCAAAACCATCCATAATTTCCCCCTGGTTAGACCCATGTTTTATGAATGATGATGATGATTTTGGAGAGATATTATTCTTAAAACATGTGCTTCCTAAATATAATTTTCATGATTAATAATATTTCAGGAAAACCACAATTAACTAGGCCTCCTGTTCTTGTATCAAGAGGCTGTACAACTATGCAAGTTCGCTGGGACACCTGGGATCCTAACATTGATAATGGTGATGGGCCAGTTACAGAATATGCAGTTGTCAAGAATGATATTTACTGGAGTGGCAAAACTATATTCTCCTACTTTAATCTGGCATATCTACTAATAGATACATCTATCAATATAACTGTAGTTGCAATACATAAAGATGGGCACAATGGACTCCCATCTCCTGCAGTTGTTATGACAACAAGACCATGTGAGTAATACAAAACTAACTTGCCCCTAATTTTGTACATAATCACTATACCTAAGATTGAAAAAAATTGTTGTTTGTTCGTATGTAAGCATAACTATTGATGATGTTTCCAGGTGTGAAGAATACCCAAGATATCAACAAAGATGGAGCAGTCGCCACAGATTCTAGTGTCTACTATGAATTTAGTACCCTTGGCCAGAGGGTGGAGTTGCCAGGATCACTTGCCATTGATACTGACCTAAGGACCTGTTCTCAAACAAACTTTGAACCTATTCCGAAAGTAGTCATAGATCTCCCATTTGAACAAGTTCTTCACAGTGTAGAACTTCAAATTGGAGGTATGTTTTACTTAAAAATAATGTTAGCATTACAGAACCAGAGTTCACTCCATGACTACAGTTTACTACATTACAGCCAACCTTACAACAACTTTTAAGGTAGTGCTTCAATGAAGTATTTGGTCCATGTGCAGGCTCATCAATGGACATACACAATTAAATTTACAAATCATGTAAAGTTATTAGGTAGTAGGTGTTCTGCATGCAATGCAATGTAAAAAAGAGACAATGTGGGATATAAGTCCTATTGACACACCAAATAGAAAGAGACTTGTTTAATTGTTCAAAATCATTTTCTTTACATTTACAAATCATGTAAAGTTATTCGGTAGTAGGAGTTATGCATGCAATGCAAAACAGATACAATACACAAGTCCCATACACATACCAAATAGAAAGCAAACTACATGGCAGTGCTAGTCTTCAACATATCCCTGTGGTGGGTAGATAGTTCATCGTAAGCATGGCAACTTCGTAATTAACAACTGACATGGTTGGTTCTTGTCTCATGCTGGTGTCACGTGATTGTAAAATCTTGACAAGTTCATTGGTTGTATTGTGCTTATTAACTAATAAATACACGGTTGGTGAAAGATTATCAACGGAACTTTGAACTCTAAATCCTACAATGGTTATTTCTTCATATATTTCATGATTTTTGAAACATTTCGACAAAATAATAATTGGGGAATGTAAAAGAATATATATTGTGTAGAAATTGACTCTATCTACGATGAAAAGGGGAAACATTTTCTCAAAATGTGGGTTATTTTTTTCGTTTGCCTGCTGCAGTGTCTATTCCAAAACACTGCATGGGAGTTTGAAAAGAAAGTACACTTTTTTGATTGTTCAAAATCTTATTCTCTGGTAAGATAAAGTATTCGGAAAATTTGCATTTGACTTGTTCTGTCATACTTCCAATATTACATGACTTGTGATTTTATTCTTATCACTTTTAAGGTGTTCAGATCTATGGGGCAGAACAAGGTGGTTGTTCTGCACAGACAGGGAACGACTTCAGTCGAAGCAGCTTCACGTTTGATGAATGCAAAAATGAGTGTGATGAGGTAGATGCATGTAAATCATTTGTATATGCTCCAAATACAAAGCAATGTGAAGGAAAGGGAACTGATTGCACCGAGTTCAAGACTGAATCTGACACAACACATCTATATATACTTCATGGTAAGGTCACATTTGATTTGATTTCATTGATTAGTAGTGACCTTAACTCTAGAAATGTGCTTCATGCTTAACTTCAAGTAACACCTTTTCTTGGAGGCATATTAATCCATTCACTCTCACTGTTTCATTTACCAGAAGTTTCTGTAGTAAATTTTCAAAAATATTAAATTGTAAATTCAGAACCAAACAATCCTACCTACCAAATAATGGAAGTATTGGCAATATCAGAGAGTGGAATTCGACAACAATGTGGATTGTTGCAGTTTGAGCCAAATAGCTACCATACAGTTAAATGCAAAGCTCCTGTTTTAACAAGGCAATTGGAAGTTTCTGCAGCTTTCAGAGCATCTGGACAGCTTTTGTCTTTATGTGATGTACAAGCTAATGGTAAGAATACATCACAATGTCATACAGCACAAAGAATAATTAAAAAACATGTCATGGATAACAGCTACATAGTACCATTGTTGGTATTGAAATGTAATATATCAAATACACATTTATTAGTGTTGTTCATTTATATAATACATCAAACAAATTATTTTGTAGAGTGTGTTGATAAAATGTTTGGAACTGACTGTGATCAAGTATGCCATTGTCTTGATGATGATGTCTGTAATAAGATGTCTGGGGCTTGTCCAAATGGATGCCATGAAGACTTCACAGGAGGAGAAGCTTGTCAAATAGGTGAGTCTGTCTGTCCGTCTGTCTGTCCGTCTGTCCGTCCGTACGTCCGGCAGTTTTCTCCAAAACCGCTACAGATATCACCTTCAAATTTTCAGGGATAACTTATGAGTGCATACAGATGTGGATGAAAAAAAATTAACTCGATACCTACTTCCTGTCGGCCATTTTGAAGTCAAATGCTAAAATCCTTGTCTGCAAACTTTAAGAAAAACGGCTCCACAGTTGCTTTTAAAACTTTAACATCTTGTTCAACTCACTTAATTCTAGATATGATTAGGTTTTGGACCTGTTAGCTCAGTCATGTCAGCCATTTTGAATGTTTTAAGAAAAGTTAGCGCACGATAATACTTTGTATCATATTGAATGGTGTTTTTCAGTTTTTCAGGTGAACCGTTTAGTAGATCAATTTCAAATTTTCAGGGATGATTCTTAGTATGAGAATCTAGATCTGATTAGTTTTTGGGCATTCTAGGTAAATGTCAAGGCAGCCATTTTGGATTTTCCGTCTAAAATCTTGTCTGTAAAGTCTTGTCTACGCATTTTCAGGTGAACCGTTTGGTAGATCAATTTTCAAATTTTCAGGGATGATTCTCAGTATGAAAATCTAGATCTGATTAGTTTTTTGGCATTCTGGATAAATGTCAAGGCAGCCATTTTGGATTTTCCGTCTTAAAATCTTGCCCGTAAAGTCTTGTCTACATGTTTTTAGGTGAACCGTTTCGTAGATCAATTTCAAATTTTCAGGGATGATTCTTAGTATGAAAATCTAGAACTGATTAGTTTTGGGGCATTCTGGGTAAATGTCAAGGCAGCCATTTTTGATTTTCTGTCCTAAAATCTCGTCTGTAAAGTCTTGTCTACACATTTCCAGGTGAACTGTTTGGTAGATCAATTTCAAATTTTCAGGGATGATTCTTAGTATGAAAATCTAGAACAGATTAGTTTTTGGCATTCTGGATAAATGTAAAGGCAGCCATTTTGGATTTTGTGTCCTCAAATCTTGTTTACATGTTTTCTGGTTAACTGTGTGACGGATCAATTTCAAATTTTCAGGGGTGGTTCTTAGTATGAAAATCTAGAACTGACTAATTTTTTGGCATTCTTGGTAAATTTTAAGGTGGCCATTTTGGATTCTCCGTCCTCAAATTGTGTCGGTAAAGTCTTGTCTACTCATTTTTAGGATAACCATTTGACGGGATCACCCATATTGTACACATTTGTGTTCTTGTATTTTTATCATGACATCATAATAGGAGAACAAGCAATTTTATTTTTCAGAGAAGCCTATATTAAAGAACCCACCATACCTTGTTGAAAGAGGTTGTGATTACCTCAAAATACAATGGGAACATTGGCATGAAACTGTGGATAGAGGGGATGGGCCTGTATATGCTTACAGACTTGTCGTAAATGGAATTAGCTATAGAACATTAAATAACCACCGTACAATTGGAGGCTTGCAAAAAGATACAGAGTATAAAATCACGGTTATTCCAATTCATGAAGATAATTTTGAAGGCAAAGCATCACCAGAAGCCCAATTGAAGACATCGCCTTGTAAGATATTTTAAAATACATTTATTATGTATATGTAAGCTAATATATATAAGATACAGTCAATTATTAAGATAACTTTTTAATTATTTGATCTTAATTAACCTGCAGTTGAGAAATTGTGGTTGCATGAGTGAAAAAAAGTGATATTTGTTTGGCAATGTTGTCACTGTGCACATTTTAGGCAATGACCAACACCAAGCCATTGACCTAACTGGTATAATTACATCACTATCCTCAACCTACTATGAATTTGATGATGACAATAATGATGTGAAATATGATTCATCAAGAGCAATAGATGATGATCTAAAAACATGTTTCCAAACTAACGAAGAGGAAGCACCATTCATGCTTGTGGAGTTTCCTGAGGAGAGAATAATAACAGGAGTTGAGATCCATGTAGCAGGTTTGCTTACTGTCATGTTCAACACATTTCAACATATTGTTAGGGCTCAAATTGGATTTAAACAGTGTATGATGTATGAATAACTGAGTATTGTGAAGTGAATGTATAACACATAATACAAAAATAAATTATCAACTTTTTCAACAGAAGCAATACAAATCATAGATATTGAGAAGTCTCAAATTGTACCCAAGTTACAAAGGAAATATCCCAAAACCAGAACGTCCATTTTTAAAATATCCAATCTCAAATGAATACTAGCATTACAACATAGTATGGTTTTACATGATATTTATTTTGATTTGGTTACATAGTACTAATGTGTGATTTTAGATCTTCCTTACCAAGATGTTGGCTGCTGGAATGAGGATGTAGATATCAGTGACGGTGGTGTGGTTGAAACACTGGAAAGATCAGAACCATATTTGTCGGATTCATTCAGATCCAGGTGCGGAAACAACTTACATAAACTTGAGTAAACATGTTACATTCTCATTCTAAATAAATTCTTATAAAACACATGTATGACAAGCATCCACTGATTTTCTATTTTTAAGGTTGTTCCCTGTTTTAAAATGCATGATGGCTGCTAATAAGAGACATTATAACATGTTTGGTATCCAAGGAGGAGGGTATTGTATGAGTGATTCTTTAGCTGAGTGGAAGTATACTAGAAATGGCCCTGCTGTTAACTGCCCACAAACTGGCACTGGTGGATCTAAGATGATTCAATTTTATAGACTTGAAACAGGTTAAAATGTTTGATCATTTTTCATTATTTTCTACTTGCACTGCAATTTGGATTCTTAGTACTGAATATATTCACTAGGGCAGAGCATTTGTACTGAAAGGAGCGTTTTCAGTACAAATATGTACTGAAAAATGTACTAGTTTTGTTTCAGTACAAATTTAAGTATATTTTTGTACTAAAAAATGCACTGAATTTTTTTCAGTATATTTTTCAGTACAAATTCATGTACTGAAAAATATACTGAATTTTAAGTACAAATTTAAGTATAAATATGTACTGAAAAATGTACTGAATTTTAAGGACAAATTTAAGTGCAAAAATATACTGAAAAATGCACTGAAAATTTAAGGATGAATTTAAGTACAAATATATACTGAAAAATGTACTGAGATTTAAGTGCAAAAGTCAGTATAAAAATGTACTGAAAAATATACTGAAATTTAAGGATAATTTTAAGTATAAATATATGCAATGAGAAATATTTGTGCCCAATAATGGAAAAAAGAGAAAACGCAAATGTAAGGCATACTTTATAAACTCTAAATCACTCAAAAAGTTCTTAGAATGGTGAAAAAGTGCATGATTTTAAAAGAATTTTTGGCCGGGGGGGGGGGGGGGTTCGCTTGGACCCCTGAAGCCCCCCCCCCCCAACAGGAATGCTATTACATTATGAAATTATTTTACTTTAACCAAACTTAAAAGAGTCTCTCTGTAATCAGGTTTGTTTTGCCTTGTCAAAATATTTTGTTTTGTTAATGGATTAATAAAGTTTCTTTAGACACATCCTTTAAAGCAGACTCTAATCAAACTGGAGAGGCTAGGTTTACTGTAATCAAGTGATTTCCTTTTTAGAAGTTATGTTTATGGATTTATTAAAAACGGCCTAAATCACTCAAAAAGTTCTTAGAATGGTTTAAAAAGTGCATAATTTTAAAAGAATTTTTGGACGGGGGGGGGGGGGGGGGGGTTCGCTTGGACCCCTGAATGCCCCCCCCCCAGGAATGCTATTACATTGTGAAATTATTTTGGATGCTTCCTTTACAGCAGACTCTAACCAAACTTAAAAGAGTCTCTCTGTAATCAGGTTTGTTTTGCCTTGTCAAACTATTTTGTTTTGTTAATGGATTAATAAAGTTGCTTTAGACACATCCTTTAAAGCAGACTCTAATCAAACTGGAGAGGCTAGGTTTACTGTAATCAAGTGTTTTCCTTTTAATAAGTTATGTTTTTGGATTTAATTATTTAAGACGCATCCTGAAATAATATCTGATTGCATTTTCTCCATCAATAAATTTCTTTTTAGCCCGATCAAACCTATCAAATATAATGCATATATAAGGGTTATGTACTGTGAGGTTTTGGATACCCATATTTCCCGAGGGATAACCCCTTTATTTAAAACTGACCGTACATAACATGTGTATTCCACACCTTTTGAGGTTTCTAGATACATTCTACCTTATTAAGTTCTAAAATTCAAAAACATTAAAGGTACACATTTTCTCAGTCTTAAAAATAAGTTTTTCATGAGATTTTCACTCATATTGCTTGAGCAATTAATTAATTGATATCAAAATTAAAATATATAACATGAACATAGAACCTCATTTGTTCGAGTAAAGCAAAATCCATGGTATAGATGTCAAAGTCAGGAAGATGTCGTAATTCAAAATCTAAGTATATTTTTCAGTATAAATTTACACTTAAATATGCCCTTAAATTTCAGTATATTTTTCAGTACATATTTGCACTTAAAATCACACTTAAATTTCAGTTAATTTTTAAGTACATATTTGCACTTAAAATCAAACTTAAAATTCAGTATATTTTTCACTATAAATATATACTGAAAAATGTACTTAAAATTTCAGTACATTTTTCAGTACATATTTATACTGAAATTTGCACTGAAATTTTAAGTATATTTTTCAGTACATATTTATACTGAAAAATATACTTAAAAATTCAGTACATTTTTCAGTACATATTTGTACTGAAAACGCTCCTTTCAGTACAAATGCTCTGCCCTAGTGATTGAACCGGAAATATATACATTTTATGGGTTAAATGAACTCATACAAACTAAATTGACTGAACAGTGACAAAGGGAAGTCAGATATAACAAACATTCTAAATAAGTAGCAGGAAAAGATGAAATACAGAATCGACCTCTCTCTCTTTGAATATAGTTAAGAACATATAACATGATATACAAAATCTCACATTTCAAAACTTTCAGGGGGTGTTCATAGATACAGTTCAGTGCTAGGAACATGTGATCTCACTGATGAAGATGACTTTCAACTAGAGAACTCAACTTTTGCTGAATGTAAAAATGCATGTGATGAAAGTGGATTCTGTGGTGCATTTATATATAAACCAGATGCAATAGGTGTAAACTGCATGGGTAAAGCGAGTGATTGCAGTGAAAGCATTCTCCCAAAAGAAAATGAGCATCTCTACTATTTAAGAAGTAATTACTACTTGTCAACATCTACATATACATGGATATTGCAATTTCATCAATGTAACCATTTCTTGTGAGATTATTACATTATACAGCCTTTAGGACTTGAATGAATTACTGATATATAGAGGATATCCTATGATTTATGAGTGATATGATTTTTATCCACGAATGTGATTCAATTCGAATTTTCCAAACAATCCGGCGATGTTGACACTAAGCCTCGTTTTGAGTCTGAAGTAGCAAAAATCCATTATCCATAGCATACGGCGCCGTATGTCATGGCTTAAACACCGTTTGCTATGGTTAAGTGAAAATTTGTCAAAAATATCATATTTTACCACTGATTACAAAAATACCGTTTTTATTTTGACATGTTATCCGATGGATATCATGCTAACTATGGAATAAGTTGTTATACAGTGTATATAATTCAATAATGATGAGCCATGGAGAACTAAGTATGTTGCTTTTATTAACAGGTCCAGAATATCCAAGATATAAATCTATAGCTGTAAATGGAACATCATCATCAGGAGAAATTCAGCAGTGTGGGATTAAACATTTTGAATCTGGTGATATACATGTCATCGAGTGTGCTGAACCAATAATAGCCAAAAGTCTTAAACTACAAGTAGTACCAGCTTTACAACAGAGTGACAAACAAATGATGTCATTGTGTGATTTACAAATATTTGGTGAGTAAATAATTATATAACTCCTTTCAACATATTAAACAGTAACTGCATGTGCACAAATGGATTTTGTTGTTAATCATTTGGGATTTGAAAAAGGTCCATAACACAAGCTATTACACAATTCAACAAAATGTCTAGAAAAATCCCGTCAATAATACATTTTATACATTATTTTTTTAAGAATGTAAGGATGGCTTCTTTGGAGAAGGATGTGACCAAATCTGTATGTGTGCTGGAGATGATGTGTGTGATAAGAAAACAGGTGACTGTCCTGGTGGATGTGAGTCGGGTTTTGGTGGAGAAACCTGCAGTATAGGTAAGCATTACAACTGTTTTTTTATCCTGAAAAAATACAAAATGTGATATACAAATACTCAACTATAAATATAACTGCTTTATCCATTGTATAAAGCTTTTTTGACATTTTGTGAAAAATATATTACAATTGAAACCGGCGAAAATTATCATATTGAAGAGTGTCATAATTAAATAAACCATCTGCCCAGTCATGACATCCACAAGTGATATAGCCATGCCAATATTATCAAATCATTGGAATTATTTTATCAACTGATTCACTGACTAGTTTCTTTTTGAAATTATTTTTAAAATAATGTTCATTGGTCTTTAAAATTGGTTTCCTTTCTAGAGCTTCCACGACTGAGGGGTCCACCGGTTCTGCTTGAAAGAGGATGCGACTATCTTAAAATACAGTGGCATATATGGTCAAACACAACAGATGTTGGTGTTGGCCATGTGTCCAGATACATGGTCTTTGTAAACAATGAGCTTGTCTACTCAACAAGTGGGAATACACACACTATTGGTGATCTTGATGGCAACACAGTGTATAATGTCATGATCGTGTGTGTACATGAGAGTGGTGCTAGAGGAGGTCTTGGTGATGTGGCTTATATGAGAACAGCTAGATGTTAGTATTTATGTCAATTATCTTTAAATAAGTGTCAAATCAATAAATAAACATGAGTCTAAAATATCTAAGTTGATTTTGAAATATTGCTTCACATATGACAGTTGTGGAAAATTGAAAGAATATGTTTCCTCATACATGTACCTTGTTACTGATTACCACATATAGGTGATGACAACCATGTTGAAATAGACCTGTCGAATTCTCTTACATCCCAATCCTCAACCTACTATAAGTTTGATGAAAACAACAACAAGATTGAGCTGGATGGCAGTTATGCTATTGACTCAGATATAAACAGCTTCTCCCAAACCAATGAAGAAGACCAGCCTAGCTTAACAATTGAATTCCCTGAGGAAAAATTAGTTACAAGCATAGAGCTACATGTTGGAGGTGAACTGTTATGTTTATTTGTGCATAATAAGTTTAATGTTAATTATGCCTAAAATATTACGAATAGTACTAAACTATACAATGTATTTACATAGTGAATTTATCTGACCATATCTTACTGTAGAACTACCCTACCAGGACTTGGGTTGCTGGAAAGAAAATGATAATGTACATGCGGGGAAAGTAGTTGATACACTTGAAGGGGAAGAAGATTATCTAAGTGACCTGTACAGATTTAGGTTAGTTTAGCAATCAATACATTTCATATCAAAATCGATTGCACTGCATTCTAGCATGAACACGAAGATGGAGCGCTGTTTACATTTCTTCAATATGTTGTATTTATAGACCAATATCAGTTACAAAATGCATGATGGCAGCACGTAAAAGAGACTTCACAGTATTTGGTGTACAAGAGGCTGGCTATTGTCAATCTGATGCTGATGCAGAAGAGAAGTATCAGAAGAATGGACCAGTTGTTGAAGAGTGTCCAACAGATGGAAAGGGGGGAAAGAGAATTATACAATTCTATAGAATTACTCATGGTTAGTTTATATTCCATTGTCACCTTATGAATACATTGTAATTATTTTGCAGGTGCATGAATAGCATTAACATTGAATTTTTATTCATTTAATTTAAACTGTAGGCTCGTTTCGATATAGTTCCAAGCCAGGGAGATGTGATCTAAACTACACAAAAGATTTTGAGCTTAAAGATGTTAGTTTTGATCAGTGTAAAGATGCATGTGATGAGGATGCCTGGTGTGCTGCTTTTATATATAAACCAAAAGTATCTGGAGTTAACTGTATTGGAAAGGCCAGTGATTGTGTTAATATGGTATCACCACACATGGCTGTTGAAGATGAACATCTTTACACGTTGAGAAGTGAGTAAAATTCTTAAATTTCAACTTTTACTAAATATGGCTGAATAGAACAAAGGATTCATTAGTTTTTCAAAATTTGCTGTTACAAAAGCCAAAGTGTTCATTTGAAAACACAGCAGTTTGCCAAAATGAATGTAAATCAAACAAAATTGAATTTTAGGCCCAGAGCATCCAAGATATAAGACACTTGCAGTGACTGGAATATTAGCCAATGGCACTGAGCAATCATGTGGAACAAAACAATTTGAGTCTCTTGACATCCATGTCATTCAATGTGAGACACCTATCTTGGCAAAAAGTCTAAAGATACAAGAAGATCATTATGGATCCCTTCAGATTCTTTCCATCCATGACCTGAAGGTCTTTGGTATGTATGTTTGCAACTAAATTGATGTAATAATATGTCTGTAACTTATCGTATGATTTCATGCTTACTTTTTTATACTAACATTTCTATATGAGAATAATTATTTCATGCATGCTTCATGGACAGAAACCTTTATGTACACAAGAACATGTTTTGTGTTCTAGAATGCAAAACTGGTACATCAGGTCCCAATTGTGCTGCCTGCCGTTGTGCAAATGGAGAAGTATGTGACAAGGCAACTGGAAAATGTCCAGGAGAATGTGAGGAGAACTATGCTGGAGATTACTGTGAAATAGGTATGTAACAGGCATATCCTCTTGGCTCAGTTGTATGAGGAAATTGTTTTGTGGTCTGGATCTGACACAATTATTCAAACCTATGTGAATGAATACAATATGAATAGAGACACATTATTTTATAGAGAGGCCCCAATTGAAGAAAGCACCAAGAATTAACAGAAGAGGGTGTTCCTACCTAAGAATAAACTGGGATGCCTGGAACAGTGAAACTGATCTTGGTGATGGCTTGGTCACATTGTACTATGTTTACCTCAATGGGGAAAAGGCTAGAGGGGCCACTGGTCAGTTGTATTGGACAGTTGGAGGTCTGGATAGTAATAAAGTGTATAATGTGACGGTTGTTCCAATACATGAAAGTGGAATTGTTGGACGACACTCGCCTGCTGCTCAACTAAAAACTCAAAGATGTATGTATGACTTTTGATTCAAATATGTCCTTTAGGTTGGTATTTTAGAAAACACTTTTCTTCAAGTCACAACCTTTATTATCCCAACGAACGAAGTTCGGTAGGGATATAGTGAAGCCCTCCGTCCGTCCATCAGTCCGTCAGTCAGTCAGTCCGTCGGTCCGTCCGGAAGATAACTCAAATATTAGTAGACGGATTTTATTCCTATTTGGTGGAAAGATGTATATTGATAAATAGTTTTACGCAAAAAAAATATTTTCAAGATGGCCACCGCTTTAAAAATGACGGGACTTTTTCGCAAAAATCATAAATTTTTCATTCTAAACCAAAGTAATTAATATTATTGTTTGAAATTTTGGTAGTATATTCGCAACATCTATCTATTTCATATATATTCTGTGTTTTTCATCCTGACCCCCAGGGGCTGTGTATGGGGGGTCAGGAAAACAGAAATTTTCGCTAATTTTTAGATCTTTCTGAAGTATAGCTTTATTATACTCAAATGAAAGACAAGAGTAGATTGCAAATATTGTATCTTTTTTCTGATTCGAGCCTCGTAAAATTCAAAATGGCCGTCTAATGTACGATTTCGCAATCATTTTTCGATCCCTTCAAAGTATGGCTATATTATACTCAAATTGAAGGAATTTTGGAGTAGATCACAATTATGCTATTATTTTTCAGATTTGTACCTCAGAAAATTCAAAATGGCTGCTTTGCAGGAATTCGCAATTCTTAAATCTAAATTTTTCAATTTTAACCAAAGTAATGAGTATAATTGATTGGAATTCGGTAATTGATATTTTGTTCGTTGGGATTTGCTACTCCGCGGAGTTGCCATTATTTATTTATATCAGAGTAGGTTTCAAATCCTTCTAGATCCTTTTCAGTTACACATTTTTTAAATTTCTATTTAAATAGGTGATGAAAATCATGTTCCACTTGATATCAGGCAAGCCACAACCACCCAGTCAACTACATATTATGAATTTGTTAATAATGACATAAAATATGAATTCAATGGAGCCCTAGCTGTTGATATAGATATAGAAACATGTGCACAGACCAATGAGGAAGATACACCATGGATTGAGTTCAACCTTCCAGAGGAGAGACTTATCACTGGTGTAGAGATACATGTTGGAGGTAAATGCTTACAGTAAACCTGAATTAATGAACATCTTATTTTTCCTGCTGTATTTGTATTGTAACTTGTTTACCACCAATGAAGGTGGGCAATACCTCTTGGGTATATCCTGTATATATACAAAGACCAAGGAACCCCTCCTTGGAGGAGCCTTGTGTTCTTTTATATGCACCCATGCATAGTCATACAAGTACAAACCACAGGCTTTTTATGAGTTGTGGACCACTCAGCTATAGGGTGGACAATTACTGACTTTTAATCTATTTCTGATTCCATATTTAGTGGAATGAACGACATTCAATGTATAACCTACTATTTGTACAGCACTTCCTTATGAGAATCTTGGTTGCTGGTATGAAGATGAAATCTTACATGATGGTAGAGTTGTTGAGAGTCTAGAGGGTGCAGAAGATTATATATCAGACTTGTACAGATACAGGTAAAATACAAAATAATCTGTTGGTTAACAAAGTTAGATGCAATTATTTTTATAAGCTAGGTGTTTGACTTCATTTAAACAGACCACTTTTCATTGAATTAGACAAGTGATTAGTCTATACTTGATATTGAAATAAATTTTAAAAAATTGTATCTAATCATCCGAGTATTGGAAATCATATTCATCTCTTGATCCTTATATTTGCATTCAATCTGATTAGTTTAATTTCATTCTCTCAAAATGAAAATGTTTTGATGAACATATGTTTTGTAAGTTGAACAAGAAATAGTGATAATTTACATAATATAACTTGTATACAATCAATATATTCAGTATTAAACCCATTAGATAGTCCCATTGAATAATCTATGACTGCTGGATGTAAATGGGAGATAGAACTATGCATGTTCTGAGTGAATGAATATAATACCAAAATTTTACATGTACAACACACTTACAGACCATATCCGGCAAAGAAGTG